TATCTTGACTAAATTTACTGCTAGGGCATTAGAACAGGTTGGAAGATGGGATAAATTTTAAGAGTATACTTAGAAATTTTAAAATGCAGTAGAACATATTATTCCAGCTGGCATTTGTTCTTTCATGAGTATTAATCTTAGAATACTTTTACTTAGATTTTCCCCTTGATTTTAACTTCTACCAGAAACAGTATTTAATGTCTCAATCTTAAGACATTAACATTCAAGAGGTGTTTTTATTTCAACTTTTCACTTGGATGTTTGTTACAGAAGTTAGGTTGCCTGAAGGTCATACTGGTGCTTTTGAAGCATTGTCTTTGTAGGCTTCATTGAACTGTGTAGCCTGTCATTGACGATGTCTCATTGCAAATAACTCTGATTCCTTTCCCATAGCTTCTGCTAGGATTTTGTTGGGGGTTTTTTTTGCGGAATATACACGAAATGGCACTACTGTGCCATGGACTGTGTATGTATTAGAATTACTTGGGTTAGTATATGTTACTATGGTATCTGACCATCAAGTCTCCACCTTCAAGCACCAGTGGACATTGTTTTGTCATTTGGCTGCTAGAGTCTTGATTTGTCATGGACTACTTCTGGAATATATTTTATTTGGCCAAAGGATGAACAGTGGTTTTTTTATAATGAGGCTCACATCTTCAAATAGTTAAGGACTAAAAGCTGTTTAATAAAGGTTTGTAAAAGTTACACAGTAAGGAGGTTACATGGTTGGAAAAACCTGCATGTTGCTTGTGGTTACTAAGTGCAGTATTCTATGGTCCTTCTGTATAAAAATTTGTCAAAATTACTGGTTATATAATTTTTAGCTACAAATAGTTGATGAATGCACCTGTGTGCCTGAAATGTGAGAGTTGTTACATATGGAATATATTTATAGATACTGGGAAAGCAAAGAAGTGACAAGTGATGAAAAAAATCTAGTTCTCAGCAAAATTACCTCAACCTTAAGCAGAATGTTATTCTTCATAATATCATAACAAACTACTAAAAGCTTTTGTGAATACAGCCAAGAATGTCTGTTTTTCAAATACAGCTTCTTGTGATAAGTCTGGTAACGGACCACATTTCTGTAAGTCTCTCAGTATTGGAATATTTTCGCTGCTAAGTTTCCCTTAAAAATAAATGGCTTCATCATAAATGCTGTGCTGTAAAATTAATTCCTACATTACATGTATTTTGAAATTTTGAAATTGTTCTGTATAAAACTGTTCTTAGGTTTATTCTTAAATTTATAATTTAAAGTACTCCATCAAAGTAGAACATTGAAAACGTAAGTGACAAGATTCACAGATGAAGCAATATCTTATTATACCCGGAAACACTGGAGATGTGACAGTTTTTGGCTGACATCCATAAAACTGAGGCTCTGAAATAGAGTCATAAATTAGCTGGGTCAGTGATTAATCTAGTATATTTGCTTTAAGTTGTCTTTTCAGTGACAGCCGTGTTCTGTTCATTGTGAGATAGGAGATCACAGTGTCTAGACTCCTATGTTCTTTCCAGTTTGTTTAACTAAAGCTGAATTAGGCTGGGTTTTTTCATTGAACATTTCTTTAATATTTCTCTGCATTCTTTTTGTTCATCAGTAGAATAACTCTCACCTCTCCCTGTGTGACTCCCTTAGTTAAGAAATGGTTGTGCTCCCAGCAAATCTGTTACAGAAACAAGGTCCTTAATCCTTGAAATCATGTGGTATGCAACTACATTAGATCCTCTGACTTCAGAGTCAGTAAGCACTGTATTATATTACCCGAGTTCTGCAACAGAGGGATTCTTTTAGCTACTAAAATGTAATTTGTTATGGGATTGTATTTTTAGGTGAGATCACTTATTTCCTTGTTATTTTAATCTCTAATTCTTAAATACTGGTGGAAGTAAGTTAGAAAGTTATATTAACCTTAAAACTTGGTAGAAATGTTAGTAAAAGTCTTGCTAAGAAATGTGGGATACTGTAGTGGGAGACATGCATTGTTTTATCATAATCTTTTGTAAACAGATGATAGACAAACTAAAAACATTACTTCAGATTTAGAAGCGTCTCTTGCCCTACTGCTTCTGCAAAGTACCCTGTATGGTTTTTTGTGAAGTTTCTCCTTCAGGCTTGATCGGAGTTCTGTCTTGGATTTGCTTTTCAAAGTGTGTGGTGCTTTGTATAAAATCATGAATAGCTGCATTGTAACTTGATTAATAGACTACAAATAGTAGTTATTGATGTGCTGTATGAATTCTTAAATTTAAATTCTTGTCTAAAACTGAGGTCCCCAAAAAGTAAAAAGCTGTAGCCATTAAAATGTAAATGAGTGCTTGAAGTCTGCTGTCCTTCTGTCTTTTTGCTTGGCCCTCATGGTATCTTTTGAAGCAGGCTCATGCAGTCTTTGGAACTGCAGGGCATGTATTTGTCCTCAAAACAAATTATTAAAAAGTCTGTGAAAATAAATTAATGCTTTTGTGTTGCCTGTATTCCCAGTGATTTACACATTTCACATTTTTAGCAAATATTGCCAGTTGTCTCAGAAATGCTTAGATATTTGTGACATAATTAAATGTTGGCTTTTCCTGTCTTCATAAAATACCATTCTGCTATTCCTCCTTTTGTTTTAGTTCCTTTTCTTTTCAGTAGGTTTAATACCTGATAAATAGCAATGCCTCAATAAAACTATTGTTTTATTTGAGTTAATTTCAGGTACAAAATTGCCAAGTCCTTTTTGCCTTTTTTTGTCTTTTGTGCAAATCTGTGATATTCTTCATGAACTTGTTTTCTAGTAATTTTTTTACTTTCAAACTGCTTGTGTCTAATAATTCAGGGCCAAGTTAAGCAAACTACCCTTTATTTAATTGGTTTATGCTAAGTAGTATTTGCTTTCTGTGTATTGAAATTAACTCAGGACAACTATTAATAGGTAATCCTAGATGTACTGTAATCATCCTTTTTGTGCGTTAGTATTAGATCAGTTATTTCTTATAACACATTTTATATACATTTAGTCTTTCTTTTGAGTTTTAAAAATCATTTGTATATGCTGCATTGAGTTGCACAAGTACCATGCTACTGTTTGATAAAATTAAGTCTTTTGAAAGGTAGTAATAACTCATGTGCTTCCCATTGCTAATTCAATGTGTGAAACATTTAAATGCAGCACAGAAAGACTTAAATATTTCTCTAAACATAGATAATCTGTTATACTAACTTTGAAACATTCCTCCTTACTTACAAATGATGATGGAGGCATTCCCTTCTGATGTTGCTTTCAGAGCAATAACAATTCTTCTCCCTGATGACATAATGAGCTCTTTTGGTGTCATACAGAGGGACAGGGGGGATAGTCACCTTAATGAAAAACTATGCTGCTGCTTTTCAGTGGACAATCGGCATTTTTGATGAGACTTAGCTGTAGTATGAAGCTGTGTATCTGTCCGCAGCATCAACAGTTTAGAACGAGCTAAAGGGTTATGTTTACTAGAAAGACAGCATAAATTGAAAAGGGTATATCCAGTTTAAAGAGTTGGATGGATCCCTCCTCATAAGTGTTACAACAGCAGGCAATGGCATAAATCTAAACTAAAAGCACAGCTTTTTAGATAATGAAAGGATTATAAGTTTGAACAAGTGGACTTTTCCATTACTGGCAGATACTTAATCACATTGGATTCTTGCTAGAAGATGTGCTGTAGCTTACCAGGGGAAAAAAATATGGTGTAAAAAAATTATTGCTGACCTTGTGCTGAAGATTTGACTAGTTCTGACTTGTGCTTTTCTGCCATTAAAATCTGAAGTTGATAGAGACAGTAAAGTTTTTTCATCTCCTGCGGGCCTTTCTGATTTGAGGCCATTATAATCCTTCTGCTGTGTGTAGAGACAGACAAGGTTAAAAATGCTTGTCTGTGTGCATAGTAAAATCTCACACTAGTTTTCAAACAACTGCCATTGTATATTAGCTCTCATTCAAGTATTAAGAGAAGTTTTAATTTTTGTCAATATCATTTTGTATTTTTTCAGTTACAGATCAAGCAGGAGATCTTTGCTCCTAAAGCAGGAATCTAAATGAAGTGAATATTCCTGAACGTAGATATCCTTGGTAGTGAGGATCATGTCCTTAATATACGACAGTAGGTAGTCAACTCTGTTTACAGAGAAGTTATGCCTTGCATATAGATCTGCAACTCTGCATGGAGAGATGTGGCATCATGTCCATTTTGGGTTAGGAGGTTTTCTTGCAGTATATCCTACTGTACCTCAGAGAGAATAGTGCAGGTGTGTGCATGCCTATGCAGAGACTTTCCATTTGGGCATGAGTGATTCTTAGATTCCTTAGTAATCTCCCTTTAGGACTGTAGGCTTTAATTCCAACAAACTAGTTTTCACAGACTGTCTCAAAACAAAGAGGCATTAAAATCAAACCAAAGTGACATTATAACATTAGCAGTGAGTTTCTCTGTGCTACTGTGTTCATAGGCAGAGGCTGCTCTTAGGTCTTCAAAACCACTGTTCAGTATTACCTCTCTTTGGAAAGCAGTTTGACACTGGGCAGGCTTTAAAATGCCCATACACACCAGATCCTTTTCTCTGACCTTTTAGCTGTAGTTGATTGCTTGGCAATCAAGTCTGCTCTGTAGGCTCACCTCAGGGTTGCCTTCAAACAGAAGGCATATGCTTTGGTGTTGCACGTGTTTTGTAAGAGCATAAGGTGAAGTGATTTTCTTAACATTTTGTGAAAGGACAGTTGCAAAGCTGACAGTAGAACAGCTCTGACTTCTAGCCTGGTGTTTAATTCACCATAACAGTGTAATGGCATCAAGCTCAAGAATTCATCTTATGGAAGTCGAAATGGAAAATGCCTCTCTTGCTCACCCATGGTTGGATTATATAAATGCTTGTTTCTCTGCAGTGTGTAATTTCTAGAGTTGCTACAGGGAGAAGAAAATGAGGACAGAATAGCATTTTAGTATTTGACAACAAAGTGTTAAATAGTGGTGTAAAGATGTACAAGAAGCCTTCGGACATAGGATCGCAGGAAGCAATTATGTCAGGGTATGGAGGAGAAACTGTTGGGGCAGTGCTGAAGGTGGAGCATGTGCATCACATCATGTAAGCAAGCAGCCATGTGTCCGAAAATATGCACTGTAGCTGCATCTCCCTTCCTAACCCCATCAATTCCATTCAAAGGCTCTTTATTCAACTTAGGGCATGATTTTGTGGGAAAGAAAAAGTGTTGGGATAACCTATATTTTTGATGTATGTCAGTATATTAGTTTCTTACTGTAGCTTCCAAAATTGAGAATATACAAATTTGTACAAGTGAGTGTTTTTCTTTGCATTGCAACTCCAAGTGACTAATGCAGAAAGTCACTATGATAAGCATTAGAAATAAATATGCCATTAACAGAAACCGATTTTGTTCCAGCTGTCTAAAATTTCAGGAAAAAATGTACTGTAGTGCTTCAGCTTTCAGAAGATGTAGACATTTGACATTGATACAAGTGTGTAATAGCTATTTTTAGAGTGACAAAATGTAATACTGCCTCTACTTTCTTCTTCCACCTAATTCTGTTCCCATTTTCTGTGAGTTTGGTCAGTCCAATACTGCAGCCAGAGAACAGCCACTCCTGTCCAAATGAGCTTTCATCTGTCACTTAAGTAACAAATCCTCACACCTGTTACAATCTTAAAGTTTTGTAACCTGAGTTAACCCCCAACAGCTATTCTTTAACACAGTGGAGTTCCACAGTTCAGATTTGCTTCTGAAACTTTATCCTTTTTACTGTGCTCTTACAGTTTTTCTTTGTTTTGCAATTAAAGTTACCCACTGTACTGACTGCTTCTTACAACCTCCTTTTCATATAAAGCTCTAGAGACGTGATTTCAGCTTTAGATTCAAATTGAAAAAAATGTTGAAACATTCCTCATGAAATAGTTCAACATGCTGCAAGCTTAACAAAGAATAAGAAATATCCTTGCCATTTTTTGCATGTTACTGCTGATGACAGCCAAGACAAATAGCAGGTCACAAGGACATGAGAAACACTGAAGTTGAAAATTATGTCTTAGTGAGTTTAAATCAGAACTGAGTTGCAGTATGTAAGTACTGGTTATTTAGTGCTATTTGAAATTCTTATACAAGCACAGCTTACAATATAACATTAGTGTGTAGTTCTACAGAAAGAATGAAAACAAGCCTTATTTTCTTCTTCAGGGGTCTGGTATATCTGGCAACTCACTGGGCCATTAGTATTTTTTTAGCTTGCTTATACTGTGTAGTGGTTGGTGCAGCAGGCAGATTATATGATTTTGATCTGTACTGGGAGCACAGTGGAAGAGGTAAGAAAATAAATGCCATTCTGTATATACATACTGACAAAGCATTAAGGTAACTGTCTACAGTAATATAAAGATAGATATAAATATGCTAGGGGACATCTTTATTGAGGAAAGTAGTACATTTTGTGAGGCAGTAGGAAATGGTAGTCCAGAGGTTGCACTCATCTCTGTGCACCAGCTGGATGCACTGTAGTTTGTGAGAGATTCATTATTGTCTAACCTTGAAAAAAACAGCTTTAACGTGCCACTAGTACCTTTGTAAGAGTAAGTCCAGACTGACAGGGTTTGTCCTTGGAGAGACTCTGACATATACTACAGGAGAGTCTGGAGCCACTTAGTGGCAGTACAGGTACTGAATTCAGCCTTTAGCATAACCTGAATATGAGGAGGAGGAAAGAAGACTGTGCTATTTTCTAAACAAATTTTAAATACTTCTAGAACTGAGATATTCAATAGGCTAAAGGGTTTGAAAGTAGGGGATTATACCCACAATTTGTCCTAAAATAATTCATATTGTCTTTTCTTTTTAAAGTTAATGTTAACACAAGGCCTGGGTTGTGCAGTAGGGATACAGGAACTATGCTGCTATTAGTGCTTGCTGTTTGCTGACTAGCGCTTCAAGCAAAGAATTGGTCATCAGCAGCCCACCTCAGACCTGAACTTCTTTCCATGTAGCTACATGACAGGCCATAGAGTCCATCTTAAAGCTGATTGCCTTTAGGAGTGTCAAGAGAAGCTGAGATACCAGCTTCTCTTCTTGTTCTCTCTTCTTGTTTTCTTGCTGTTTTTTGACATATAATCTCAGATATCTCTGCAAGACAAGATTGTCCATCTTGTTTGCAAGAATAACACCTCTACCCACAGTTTCCTCTGTGCCCTTTCATCTGCACTGCTGCAGCTTGTGTGGAGTATGCTGATGGGATGTGTGTGGTATTTAGCCTCCCTCACAAAGCTTATCTTCAGCCAGATTTTGATCACTCTAACACTTTTCCTCACATTTGCGTATTGCAGCAGCATATGGGCCAGTCTACTGAAGATTGTCAGTTGTATATGTAGATAAACTGATTTAGACAGTTACACTAGTGTTTGAGGAAAATCCAAGCAGATATGAAGCACGTTTGTAATACTAGTAAAAATAGGATGTTCCTTAGATACGATAGGTTTAGTATTATTAATTTTCTGAGGATGTTAAGAATTTTAACGTTAAAATACCTTCTAAAGCATCATTCCAAAAGAAATTTAATTCAGGGAATACTACCTTGAATGTAAATCTGCTTAATGAAAGTGGAGAAGAGTTTGATTATCTTTCTTTCTTTTCTCCAAACTGTAGCTTTTGTCAGAAGTGATAAGCCAAAACTCTTCAGGGGCCTGCAAATCAAGGTGAGTAGTAACCTAAGTTTTTTATTTGGGTTGTTAGGAAGAATTAAGCTTGGTGGAGACAGTCCTTCTGTGGATTGTTCCTTGTTTGTTGATCAAGTAATCCTTTAGCAAAGGACATATATTTGCATTGCCAGTATAAATCTTTACAAGTTCCTGCTGCTAATATTAATTGGGTTATTGCTCACTAACTGTTTGTTACCAATTCTTAGTTGTTGGGGCTTTGGGGTTTCTTTTGCTGTTGTTTTGTTTTTAATCCAAGAAAAAATATACTGGAACCTGTAAGTAACAGCAATGGCAAAAGAATGTGAGGAATGCGTGCATCCTGTTCTTACTCTGTGGCTATCTTGGATTTACTCAAGGTTATTCTGCCATAGTTTCCTTTTCTCCTGTTATTTTCTCCCCTCATTTTCTGATGGAGCTGCCATTTCCAAACATTCAGTGATTCTTGGATTTTTGTCCTCCCTCTCAGAATTTCCTTGCTGTGTTCTATGGTTTTTTTCTTTGTAGTCTTCAAACATTGAGCTTTATAGAAACTGATATACTGAATGGTGTTTCTTATGACTTCATATATGCAAACCTGCATAAGCTGCAGGGCCTTAAGCTCAAACAATTACTTGGCTTCAAGTTCTAGTGTAAGACTTAACCTTCCTCTTAAAATCCTGTATGAACTTGCAGCGTACTTCACAGATGCACATCTTGATTCTCACATCTTGCACTCCTATCTCTATTCACCAAATGGCACCATCTGGAATCACTTCATAGCTATGCAAGGCTGCAATAAGTGATTTGTCTTCTCAGCAGCAGATTCCATTTAAAACAGATTTCCTTTGTCTCATGCATTCATGTCTCTGTGCCCTCCAGTTTCTTTCAAAAGCTTTCTCTCCTGCTTGTCTGTTTCATTTTTATTTTAGACTTTGTAGCTGTATTGAACATCAAAGCAGCCTAGACTACAGTTGGTAAGAGCACTACTAGATGCATTTGCACTAAATTTTTTCTGGTATTTATTTTACAAGACTTTTGGAAAAGGCGTGAGAGATGCCACTAGCTTCATTAAGTAAAACTAACTAGGTTAGCTCAGTAGGGTAAAGTAAAAGTCTCCTGGGGAAATCTTTCCATAAACTTAAATGGTTAGAGCCTTCTAATACTGTTAAAAGCTTTTATTTGCATTACATATTTTGTGACTTAGTGAGTCTTCAGAAGCATTAAAGTATTATGTTACCAGCAAAGCCTAGTGGGCACAGATATATTACAGCAGGAAAGAATGTGATTACATTAGAAATTGACAGTAGAACTTTGAGCTGTTAAAGTGACCGGAAATTTCAGTTAAAAGGCTATTGATTATATGAGAAAAATCATTCAGCTGCTTGATTCAAAAATCCAACTTCAGTAACTTAAAATAGTTGAAGTAGAATACCATCTTTCAAAGCTAGGCACTGCTTCCCTGCATATGCATTAGCTTATGCTGTGGGTCAAGGAGAAAAAGTAGATGTCTCACACACATCTTTTCATTTGTCTTGTGCCTCTGCTTTCGTCTCTTTGACATTAAATACAAGTCTGAACTGAAGCTCTTTCCTACCTGTTTTACTTAAGGCGAGTAACTATGTTCTGGATCTCAAGATAAACATTTACTGCTCTTAAATTAATGTGTTTTGATTTTCTGTGAAATGAGACCTCTTTGTCCCTTCTGCTTCCTTCTTTTCTCTCACCCTTGTTCCTTAGGATTAGGCAAGAAGGCATTTAATCCAGAGCTGCAAACACTGGCCAACTGCTGCTAGTGGAGTTTGCAGCCTGCAGCATCTCTTGTCTTTAAAGCTTCAGTAAGGTGTCTCCCCTCTTACTGGTTCTTCCTTTGCATAGATACATGCACCCAAAAACTAGCTTTGAACGTCTACTTCTCTTGAATCTGGAATTGGAGGATCAGGTAGCAGCATAGGAAAGAACAAGCTGAAGGACTGATCTCATAAGCTTAATTTTATTTTTGTGAATCTGTTTTCTTCAAGAAAAGTAGAATACATTGTTGTTAAACACTCTAGTGTTTAACATAAAATCATAAAATAATTTTAATCATAAAATCAGAACAAAATACATGGCACTGGAATATCTGTAGCATTGATCATTGTGAGGAACAACCAAGTTTGTCTGGTTTTTAAGAATTCTAGGCTTTAAAAAGCCAAAGCTTAGGTTGATTTCTTAGCACAAATTGTATTGCCAAAGTTTGCTCAGAATACTCTGTAATTTAGTGCTCTGTTGTTAAGTATTCATACTTCATAGTGTCACTCTTTGGACTTTTTACTGTTCTTGCTTTGCCAACTTTTTAACTGATTTAAATCAATTGGTGGGTGTTAATATGGAGAATGCATTTCCCAGACCAAGGTAACTGACTCTTTTTTTTGTGCAGTATGTGCGTGGTTCTGACCCTGTACTAAAGCTGCTGGACGACAGTGGGAACATTGCAGAAGAACTGAGCATCCTCAAGTGGAATACAGATAGCGTGGAAGAATTTCTAAGTGAAAAATTAGAACGTCTATAAATCATTGCTTTCAGTCCTCTCTCCATTTAATGTTTTGTCATGGTAATCTTCTCGGATGTAGTGTGCTACAACTGAAAAAACATTCCAGCTTCTGTATGAATTTGAAAATATCTGTTGTGCTGCACTAAACATCTTGTAATTAGAAGGGGAAGCTTCAGCACACATATCTAACAAGTTGACAAACAGAATAACTTGTCTTAATATATTTCAGCTCTTACATTTATCACTAACAAAATGCTTTGTTTCAAAGTTAATTATGCAAATATCAGTTTGTTATAGTTGGACCTGTTTTTACAAATGCTCTTAAAACTGAAGAGCTTCCGATAATTGAAATGATTACCATGCTTTTTGTCTGCTGCTGTCTGTAAAAGTCAGAACCAAATGCAATGTACTATCTCCCAAAGAAACTTGACTGCTAATGCCCTCTTCTTTTTTGTATTTGAACTGTCCTTTTTATAGAAGCATTGTTTACAGTGAGTACCTAGTTCACGGGTTTTTAAGCTGATGGAGGAACTCATGCTCTGGTACTGTGAAACATTTATTAAGTACACTTTAGTGAAGACTACATAGAAAACCTCCAAGGTATATGGAAGTCAGATGTCAGGTGTGCTTTACGTTAAGTGTTTTACTTCAGAAGACATGAGATGTAAGTCTTGAAAACCTTTCCTTCTAACTTTCACAAGTTTATTGGAAGTCTGTTTATCAAAGGAATTTATAAACTGTTCTTTTAAAATGTGTATTTTTCTTTCTCAGTTGAAATTTATGTCAACAGTTAATATAGACAGTATGTATGGTAATGAGTCAAATCCATTATGACTTGTCAGATTTTTTCCACTTAGTGTGAATAAATATGGTAAGCAAGAATAATGTGGGCTTTTTCTGGTCTAATTAGCAAATAAGTCTTCCCTTTAACTAGTTCATGCACACCAGTTTTTGGTTGGATGGGTGTTATGCTGTGGCCTGAATTGGTACTTAGTTTTTCTCTTATATATAATTTTATATATTAAGAAATTTCTCTACAATTTATAGACTTTATTCCCAACTTTTAAGAAAAAAGCATCAGCTTCATAACAGAACAATAAACTTGGCACTGACACCACAGTAAATTATCATAAGTAATACACTAAGGTGATTCTTCAGGCATAGCCTTCTGAGTTTTTTATTCCTGAAATATTCTTAAACTCCTAGAAGATGCATACAGCTAGGTCACATTATGTGATCCCCACTGTTCTCTCCCACTCCTACTCTGTGCCTTTCTCGTCTATCCTTGTAAAACATGCTGCTCGTCTCCCAGATGACTCAGTGTGGGACGGCTACAATAGTGGTCACCACTGTCTTAGAGAAATAGGAACTCTGCAAAGATTTGTGCTTTTTGTGTAGCTTGTACTAACTTATCAAACATGGATTTGTTCTTGGGACATGTGATGTATTAGTCAGCAGATGAGCTACAACCAAAACATGTGCCATGACAACCCAGTATTTTGGTAGTAAAAATATGCTGCCATCCACTGGTCTTTTAATATATTGACTATATCCCATACTTCTTATTCCTGTGTTTGCCAACAAGGGATTTCAGCTTCTGTGTTGATGATTTATCATGCTGTTCTAGCAGAATATTTTAACCTCGTCCCTCTCCCCAGCCTTAGGTCCTCTTTACCACTCAGTGGAGAGAGTGTTTGCTTCATTTGGTATTTACTAAATCTTTCTCTCCACTTCTCTCAGTATTTCCTTCCTCTTCCTCCTACTTAACATGATGGCCAGTGGGTTTCTGACCTTCAACCTCTCTTATTCTTTCCATGACTTCCCTACTGCCAGCCCACTACTTCCCTATACAAACTACTTCTTCCAATGCCAGGTCCTTTGCACCTGCTCTTGCTTGCCTTTCACTGAAGCAAGGAACTCGTTCTTGTACCAGGAGATGACCATCCTGTAGTGGAGGAGGGTGACAGGCCAAAGAATTTATCCTCCAGCATAACTGGTTTTTATGACTGCAGTCCCAATACTGTTTCTGCAGCCTCTGACCTTTCCCAGTACTGTTTCTCACTTATTTTTATCAAGGAGACTGGTAATTAACTTTTCTCCCAGTTTTCCTCCTAGTTCCTGATTCAGATTCCTATTCCACATACTAATCTTGCCTTGTAATACAGATCTTTATTCTCATATCTTTAAAGCATACACAAGGTACATCCCCATATTATTTCCCTATATATAGGAATATATCAAGAGTCTTCCATGATTCTGTTACTGAGCTGATGAGCCCTGAACCTACTCAATCTGTTAGCCTCTTGCAAAAGCTTAATTACCTATTCTGCTTGACCTGTTGTCTGTTCTCCATGCCGGTCTTGAAGTGTCAACTTTGTACTATCCTTGCTTTATTCCTTCTTATTCTAGCCTTTAGATGATACTCAGATTCTTGCCTCTACAGCCACGTGCTAGGAACATTTAACATTCTGGCAAAATTGAGCTGGGCTTTGTACTAAAAGAGGCAGTTGGAGTGGGGAATAATTTCTTGTGGAAATTCTTAAGTTTCTATTTATCAGTGTCGGGGGGTTTTCCTCCAGTCAGCAGCTGTGAAAATTCATAGAGCTCAAAAGGTTATTTTGGTTTGTGGCAATTAACTACACAAAATACAAGGTTTAAAGCTCCCATTTAAAAAGGAAGTGATTCATTTTTACTTATCACCATGATAAGCACCCAGTACTTTATGAAAGGCATTCACTCAGATTTATGTAAGAATTATTTAGTCTTATATAATGCTCCTGTTGTGCCAAGTCTTGAGAGAGTTAATGAACAGAAGAATAAAAGCAGCAAGCATGCATGGCTCAGTTGAAACATGAAGTGTCCATCTACCCCTCCGATCTTTTTAGAACTCCTCATCTTGCAGGAGACCGTATCAGTGCTAAAAAAAAAAAAAAAAAAAAAAAAAAGTGGTGTACGTTTCTTGAGTACCTGCTTAGTCATAGATTCCTACAATATGAACCAGAACAAAATTATTATAGCAGACAAAAATCTATTTCAGAGCTAAGGGAAACCTTGCAGCAGACATTAAAATCATGGAAAGAAAGTATTCAAGTCAGTCTTTGTTTCATAGTTTCATCATATAGATAGAACAGATTTGCCTACCTAATGAAGAAGACAAACAAAAAACATTGTGTTCAGAAACCTAGGCTCCTATAGAGGATGCTTCTGAAAGCTCAGGTTGAAAAAGTTACAAAGTTAATCTGATGTTCCTCTTCAGCCAGGGAGACTAGATGCCCTTCTCCCCCCCACCCCACCCTCCCCAAAGGAAAAAAAAACACCACCCCCAAAAAACAACAACAACAACAAAAACCCAAAAAGAACACCCCACAAACAAACCAAAAAGAAATAAAAATTGTTTACGTGTCATTCTACTTCATTAGCATGGAAGTTGGATTTTTAAAGCTACATTTTAACTCTGTATTCTACCCATAAAGGCAAAAAAGCTGAAATCTAACTTCAGATCATTTCAAGAGTACCTTGCAAGGAACAACATAATTTCTTCTTCTGAATTTGTGTGTTTTTCCTTGTGTTGTTAACTGTTAAGGCCCAACCCAATTACTTTGAAATAAATTTGCTGTCATGTCTAAGAGAAAGAGCCCAAGGGACAAGATAGCCAAGGAGACAAAGAACAGACAGCCTGCTGATATGTTACGTTATTGAACACCTGTGGTTCAGAACACCAGTTTCCCTTGTAAAAAGTATAAGCAGAGGGTAGCTGGAGAATATTTTCAGTAATTTTTTTTCATTATCACTTGTCATAAAGGATGGACAGAAGGAAACATATTATGAAATTACCTAGTGAGCTCAGACAGGAGACAAACTACAGAAACAGTCAGAGTATTCTTACATTTATTGATTTAAATAGGAACCATGGCACCAGGTGAACCAGACTGTCTCAAGAGTACCTCATTATCTGTTATATTTAGAAATGGATTCCTGATGCTGAACAAGGTCTATCAGATTTCTTACTCTTTGAGAAGCAAGGTATCCAACTGTGTGTTTCAGCTCTACCTTTGTAGACTGAAAGCCTTACATACAGCAGCACTTATGTCCACTGACATACAAATTAAACAAAGCTTCTAAATACTGAGAAATGGAGTATGTCTCTCAACACTTCCCACTACTAAGGCAACTAAGATCAAAAGGGTTCCATGATTTACCCTTGCATCAAGCAAGCATTTCTTTTGAATTGTTCATTTTGTCTGCTCTCAGGCTAGGCTGTCAAGCATATTTGTTTCAAAGCACTTGCAGCAATGCAGTGCTCCCAGATGCCCTAAGCTTCATGTAGACAGTGGTGACATATGTACTCTCAGATGGGTATTCCTACCAGTAGTTTTTTTCCTTGAAAATACACACTACCTATATATTCTACATCAGTGCGGTACAAAGCTGTATTAATGACATTAATTGTGCATCTTTTGAAAGTTTCTAGCAATATTAGTCTTACATTCTTCAGATATGGCCTTCAGAGGCCATATATGCCTAATATATTTTAAACATTTTGTAGGAAGAGAATTGATCCTACTGCATAGGAGTTCAGTTAGAGTTGCAAGTACGTGCCAGGATGAGCACTTTGGTGGTTGTGATAAGTCTGGGTAGGTCTGTACCACCTCAAAGATAGGTAAGAGCACATGTTGTTATGCCTTGGGAACTTACAGTCTGACTAGCTTCAAAAGATAAAACGAGACACACTGGTATGAGTATGATTACAAGCTATAAATACTGTGAGGAGATCTTATCTACAAGAGATACCAAGCACGCATAATGCAAGTTTAAACCACATCTTTGCTACAGCGTGCTGCAGTTGTGCCTTCAGTGCTGCTGCTTTGTCTCCCTGAGGGTTACCTGTTCCCTGCTTTCAGACTGAGATTAAGATCAAGTCACTTGACTAGACATAAAGTTATGTCCTTATCCATTTCTAGAATACAAAGATACTCTTTGCTCTGAACATCTCTCAAAAATGACAGCAAATAAAAGAACATACTAGAAATGGAGTGGAAGGGTAAACAGTTTCATCTTTTCACAGGAACACCTAACAGTGTTGTCTACTTGGTAGGAACAAGAGCATGAACTGAAGACAGCCAGACAGTAACAAGGAAGCAGTAATTTCAATAAGAATAAAGTTATTTGGTGAAAATCAGTGGATACTACAAAGCTATGAAACAACATAGTATTTTCTCATAAATAACTCAGGGTTTTGATCTCAATAAACCAGCAAAGATCTGTACACCAAAAAAAAAAAAATTATTTGTTTAAAGCCATGCTTAATTTACTGCTATATTAACTACACAGGCTTTCAACAAGTTTTTCTCCTAAAGAAAAGTAGTTGTATGTTCATGTGCCATATGAAATATATCACAAAAAAATAATGGTTAACAAACTAGCAGAATCGAACTCCAGCGACTGGGATACTTCTGCTTTGTCTTAGTTTTAAGTGCCTGACTTTGTCATCATCAAAATCACTCTAGTGAGTCAACATCATAACAGAACACAGTATGAGAGGGTCTTAGTATTCTTCCCAAGATTTTACTGTGGTGAAATCCCACTATAAGTCATGATGAATGGAATGAGAAGGAGTAAATCAGTCTTACTGTAAAACCACAAATTCATCTAAGAATGTATTCCTTAGTTTTTCTGTATAATGGAAATCCTCAGAGGAGTCTGTGATGGCAGTTGATATATGGGAATAGCTAGATAATGGATTCACAGAGTAGAAGTCAACATTTCCAAAATGATTCACGAGAGCAGTTCCATACCTTGACCTTCTCAGCCAGCATCCGGCACTGCAGTACAGTACATATCCTGGAGCTGGGAATACATCCCCTTGGGGCCAAGTGCATCAAGCA